TTGTTCAACTCTACTAACTATAGTACAGTGTACCCCTGCCACTGGGAGTTGTTCAACTCTACTAACTATAGTACAGTGTAACCCTGCCACTGGGAGTTGTTCAACTCTACTAACTATAGTACAGTGTAACCCTGCCACTGGGAGTTGTTCAACTCTACTAACTTATGAACAGTGTAACCCTGCCACTGGGAGTTGTTCAACTGTACTAACTTATAGATTAGTGTAACCCTGCCACTGGTAGTTGTTCAACTCTACTAACTATAGTACAGTGTAACCCTGTTACTGGGAGTTGTTCAACTCTATTAACTATAGAACAGTGTAACCCTGCTACTGGGAGTTGTTCAACTCTACTAACTATAGAACAGTGTAACCCTGCTACTGGGAGTTGTTCAACTCTACTAACTATAGTACAGTGTAACCCTGCTACTAGGAGTTGTTCAACTCTACTAACTATAGTACAGTGTAACCCTGCTACTGGGAGTAGTTCAACTCTACTAACTACAGTACAGTGTAACCCTGCCACTGGGAGTTGTTCAACTCTACTAACTATAGTACAGTGTAACCCTGCTACTGGGAGTTGTTCAACTCTATTAACTATAGAACAGTGTAACCCTGCTACTGGGAGTTGTTCAACTCTACTAACTATAGAACAGTGTAACCCTGCTACTGGTAGTTGTTCAACTCTACTAACTATAGTACAGTGTAATCCTGTTACTGGGAGTTGTTCAACTCTATTAACTTGTGAACAGTGAACCCCTGCCACTGGTAGTTGTTCAACTCTACTAACTATAGAACAGTGAACCCTGCCACTGGTAGTTGTTCAACTCTACTAACTATAGAACAGTGTAACCCTGCCACTGGGAGTTGTTCAACTCTACTAACTATAGAACAGTGTAACCCTGCTACTGGTAGTTTCTATAGTTAGTAGAGTTGAACCGGTCTAACCCTGCTACTGGTAGTTGTTCAACTCTATTAATTTGTGAACAGTGTAACCCTACCACTGGGAGTTGTTCAACTGTATTAACTTATGAACAGAATATGTTAATTAGTATAACTTTATACCTGCTGCATTCAGCAGTAATGACATGTGAAAGTCATGGGGCCTAGGCACTGAGTGTGGTAGCAAGTGTACAGGGGGCCGCAGGGGGTCAGTGGGAGTTTTATTTGATGCAGACGCTGTTGCCCCTGGTTTGTGGACCTCAGACTGTTGCTGTTGTTTTTGTTGATGGTGGTAGATTTCCCAGGCGATCCGTATATGCATTGCACACCATCGTCCAGATTTCTACGGAGGAAGAGAGAGAGATAACATTAGTATTTCTCGATTGTTTTGTATATATACAGAAATTAAGTTAGCAAAAAACTTGATATTCAAGTGAAGAACAAGACTACATTTCCTAAAACCAAAATGACATTCTGAACAGGCTTAGATCACTTTTTTAATACAATAGAGTCGTAATCAAATCCTTACAGAATACACTGCTTAAATGTGTCTTATATGACCTTTCGTTGCCAATGTGTGACATGGTCTTTATCCTAGTTGAAAAATACCAAAGTAATTACAGTTCTGCAGCTCTTGAAATGTTATTAAATTCAACTGAAATAAAAGAATATAAATAAAATGAATTAAGTTGGATACATTTCTGAAAAACGAATAGATTCAAATGTGAGAGGGAACAAGAAATTCAATTCTGCAGACCTGTAAAGCGTCAAACCTTAAATATAGTGTTACAACTACACATGCCACAAAAGTCTAGATTAAATAGATGGAAATAACTTACCATGTTCTTGGTCTTAACAAGGGGATTCATCTGTCAATGTACAAACGAAAATAGATTTTAATTTATGTTTTGGTCTAATTACAATTAACCACATAAAAGTAAGTAGGCATTTTCTGTTTTTTAACCCTTCTACTGAATTTAAGTCAACTAATAAACACAAATCAGTAAACCGTTTAATGATATTTAAATGTTTACTGTACACTGAAAGTGAGAAATATTTAACTATACAAAAACACTTCAACTGTTACTGCTATGATGTTCAAACATCATACGACAATTAAATATTAATTAGTACAAACACGCACAATGTATTAAGACTCTTAACAATCTTCAATACATTTATGTACATAAACAGTATTCAACATTGTCAGTTAAAAGTTAAGTTGTATGATACTGTGGCCTTATGTTACTCTAGTGTCATTTCATAGTTAAGTTGTATGTTACTGTGGATTTGTGTGACTACAATCTCAGTTCAACGTTGAATTAAATGTTCCTATAATATCAGTTAAACAACGAGTTGTAAGTTACTCTGGACTTATGCTACTATAATATCAGTTAAACAACGAGTTGTAAGTTACTCTGGACTTATGCTACTATAATATCAGTTAAA